CCTTTCCTTGAGCCCCCAGGAATGACTCATTATCCAGCAGAAAGGTTTGCCCGTAAAGGATTTTTCAAAGCAAGGTACAATCCTGACTTTCATACAGCTAGAATACTAACAACGTCAAAGATTTAACTCATGAATGAGGGACCTGAACAAGTGGTCCCAACCCCTTAAAGCAGACTTAAAAGACCAATAAGGACAGATCAGCAAGCCCATCAGGGATGTTGAAACATCTGCTTAAGGGATGCAAAACTGGCTTCTTCTGTGATGGAGGGAATCAACTGAATCTCCCAGATACAAAACTACCTCCATGTATATAGACAACAATTATTTGCACTAGAACAAGTTAACTTCTATGGACTTTATATTAAGTAACTGCCATATTTAGTAAATAACTCAAAACCAATAAAAGAACAAACCCCACAGAATCATAATTTTGAACATTCTAAATAATGCATAGTTTTCCACTGAAAATCCCTGGTAATCTTCTAGGCCCAATTAAGTTTTCATGATTTTTTTGGTACAGTCTTCCTCCCTTGATCAAGAATAATCCTGAAGAAAAAAAGCATCCTTGTAAGACTGGTCTCATTTCATTTGGCCTCATTCGCATATGTGCAGGAGGTTTTCTCAAGTTTGCTTTGGAAATCTAGAGCTCTATAGTATTCAACAGTGAAAACAAGCTGGTGGAAAGTTGTTTTGTTTTTAAGGTTTTAGAGTGTCTACACAAACATGAGTAGGGGGAGAGGCAGAGGGAGAGAGAATTCTCAAGCAGACTCTGCTGAGCAGGGAGCAAAATGCAGGGCTTGATCCCAGGACCCCAAGATCATGACCTGAGCCAAAAAATCAAGAGTACAATGCTCAACCAACTGAACCACCCAGGCATGCCCTTGGTGGGAAGTTTTCATTTTCATAAGTCAGGTTGGACTTAACATTTCAAGGATTTACTATGCCAAGGCTAGAATCCAAGTCCAAAAAACTCATCAAGTTTAGCCTGCAGTACCTATGTGGGTAACTTCATCTCAAGGCCCCTGGCTTCCCAGGTGGTGGTTGGTCTTCCTCACCACCTGTAAAGACTGGGCCCACTTATGCTAGCTTCCAGGCCAATCTTCCTTGAGCTTTCATAGGCATCTACTCATAAGAAAGCCCTAAATAAAATAAGTCCACTTTATATTCCTTAAAAGTGACATCATTCCTGATTAAATGAGAACAATTCTCAATTAAGACATTCCAGGCTAGACTTTGGCTCTATACCAATTTTTCCAATCATCTCCTAGTACTAAGTACATGTTCTGATTGAATATATTTAAATTATACTGTCCAACAGTAAAGAAATTTAGTAAGAGTTTCTCATTTCCAGTGGAGGTGAAAAGGAAGGGCTTTTCCTTCCTTTTCCTGAGAATCAGACATCATTTGAAAGTGCTGTATGTGTTCACCATGGCAGGGTCTGCTAACTTATTGGTTACAGATAGCCTAAGAATAAAAAAAAACTTGCTTACATATCTAACATTAAAAAAACATCAATCTTCCAAACAAATATTCATAATAAATATGCCCTCATCAGTTCATTTAGTTCTATGTAATTAGGTCACGTTCTGCTAAATCTTGAGTTAGCAGACTCAGGAAGCTGTCTGCTTCTTGACTAAAGAAAGCTTGAAAATCCTGACTCAGCCCACTGGCAAGCAACACCATCTGCACACAAGACTCTACTCTTAGAAGATTCAATAGTTTGAAGTACCTGGAACACCAAGACAGCTTTGTTTGTGAGAATCAGTCAACCAAAATCTGTAGAAGAGGTAACACAGGTGAGGTTTTCTTAATTTTCAGATCTGAGGAGAGCTCAGAATAAAGCTACTGACAAGGAAATGGGATTGTGTGCCACAGAAAGCTCTTTCAAACAATGTTTAGGAAAAATGTCTGAGGGTAATGAGTCTATTTTCAAATGTTACACCTGATTTATAAATACATGAATTTTTATAGAGGAAATCTTGTTATAATGTACAGTAATCCTGAGATTATATAAAGAATGTCAAGTAAAGAAATGCAGTAACTCTAGAGTAGGGCTTAGACATCTGTGTTTTTATAGAATTATGGGTAAGTCTGATGTGCAAACTAAAGCAGATTATCAAAAAGACAAAAGAGAAGAAGCATTGGAGAAGTGGAGATAAGGGAACCCTTGTGCACGGTTGGTGGGAATGCCAATTGGTGTGACCACTATGGAAAATATGGAGGTTCCTTAAAAAATTAAAACTAGGAGGACCATATAATCCCAGCAGTTCCACTTCTGGGTATGTATCCAAAGGAAATGAAATCATGATCTCAGAAATCTGCACCCCTATGTTCATTACAGTATTATTCACAACAGCCAAGGCATAGAAACAACAGATGTGTTCATCAATGGATGAATGCACACAAATGTTCATCCATAAAAAAAGGAAATCCTTCAATCTGTGACTACACGGAAGGACCCTGAGAGCATTACACTAAGTGAATAAGCTAGAGAAAGACAAATAATGTATGATCCCATTTATATGTGGGATCTTAAAAACCCCTGAACTCAGCATAGAATGGTGGTTGCCTAGGGTATGAGGAGGTAGGGAAAATAGGGAGGCATGGGTAAAGGGCACAAACTTCCAGTTATAAGGTTCCAGGGCTCTAATGTATAGCAGGAGGACTATAGTCAATACTATATTACATACTTTAAAGTTGCTAGGATTGTAAATCTTAAATGTTCTTACTATAAAAAAGTGATGTGAGGGATGGTTTGTTAATTTCATTGTGGTAATCACTGTATAATACAGAAATATCAAATCATCACATTGTATACCTAAATTCACAATGTATAGGTCAATTAGGTCTCTATAAACCTGGGGTGGGGAGGGAAGCAAGTTTATTCCAAGCAAGCATTTAAATAACTGAAGTTGACTGGCAACACTGTTTTTGCCTAATATTATCAGGCAAACTACCACCAGAATTCTGATCAATAGGAACCTATTATGGACCATGAGGGCACTGGACAATCTCTAGGAATTTCCCATGAAAACATACAATTTCTGAAATATTTATGTTAATACAGGTTATGTATTCGAATGTAACCTAGGGAAATCTGGAATGTCTTCTGATTTGGCAAATTATACAAACCTAATTATTTCTAGCATTACTTTATAGAAATAAATCATTGCAATTTTCTAGAGATCTTCTGGGAAATCTCAAATATAGCTTCAGGTATAAAAGAGACCCTGAAAGGTCTTTTTTCTATATTAAGAATTTGACTTAAGGCAAAAATAGTCAGGAAATTTGGATGTCTGATTAATATAGGACCTTATACAGACACCTGAAAGTACTTGTTTCCTATTTAATCAAAGTAACAATAAAGCATTTAAAAGTAAACATAAGGATACCACAACTAGAAAGAACCTTAGTTCCTTCATGAGAGGGGAAGCTTTGTTTTTCATTAGTTGTTTTTTCCTTAAATAATCCCACTGGAAAATCTCCACAACTATTTAAGGATAATTTTTAAAAGAAAAAAGGTAAAGGGACTCCTACAGACATAAGACACTTGTCAAAGATATTTAATTAACAAATGAGGGAATCAGAAAAGGTGTTATAACCAGTTCAAAGGAGAATTCAAAGATCACATATAAGCTCATGAGCTATGTTAAAATTTATTCGCTTAAGAGGTACAACACTGGCTTCTCCAGTGGAGGCAGAGAAGGCAATTGAGCATCCAGACGGTATATTTTGCACGTCTACAATATTTGCTTTACTACAAGTTTTCTGCAATGTCCCTCTCTAGAGTTGCAGGACAACTCAAAGGTAATGAAAGATTCAAACTCCACAGAATCAGCTAGCCTCGAAGAATGTGCTCTATACAACATATGCTGTTTCACTGAAGACACCTACTAATCTTTTGGTCCATTCAGAAGTCTTAGTTTCTCCTTCACCCTGACACAGCAAGGGACACCTAGGGCCATATTTGATCAGTCGGCCAGTCTTGTTAGTAGTTACTATCACTTGGTCTGCATACAGAAACACTTAACAAAAGTGTTTCTGTCTTTGATAAGTTCTTAGTGCAATGGTAGAGACAGACCAACAACAACAACAGAGATAAGCATAGACACTTGTAGGAGGCGGCCCCTAAACTGAACTTCAAGGAAAGCGAAAGCTCTCTGGATTGATAAGGATTAGCAAAGAAATGGGCAGTGTGGACAAGAAGGGAACAAGAGACAAGGGGCTGTAGATAAATGGTGTGAGCCATACCTGGACGCAAACTAGACAATGGTGAGTTCATGGAACTGCAAGTTCATTCAGGCTTTGGGGGGTTGGGGGTGGCGGGGAGAAGAGGTTTACCACCATCCTTGATTTGACACAGGAATAAACCCCTGGGTAGCAGTGGTACCCTCTGCTTTAGAGGATTTTAAGGAAAACACATAGTGAACATATAACAGGCAAAGTGTGAGTATTGTAAAAAATAATTCTCATCCAATTCTAAAAAATGGCTTGCAGCCATTCTAAATATTGCCTATGAATTATTTATAATGCCTGATATAACATTCTGGGATAACATAAGCACACAATTGGGGGTTTGTTAAAATTTAATCCCAACTTAAAAGCTAAGCAGAGGGGACCAAGACCAGAATAGGCAAAGGATTTTCATCAACAGCATATTATTCAAATTAGACAAAACTCTCAAACTCAAAATTAAGATTACCGTTTCCCAAATAGGTAAATGCTTACATTGACAGACTTAGCTCTTGTGCTTGATTTTGCCATTTTCAACACAGGAGTAGATTTTCAGTCTTAGTGAGAAGGTTTATTGGTCTAAGTGCCACTTTTTGGCACATAGGTCACCAGCCTATCCTAACTCTAAAATTACACCTGGAAACCTATTATAACCAGAGCTGCAAGATGACTTCAACAGTGAAAAGTTCGAACGCCCCGGCAGAGAAGCTGAGGTCATCATCGAATTTGAAATATTTAAAGTGGATACAAAACTGTATCCACTTGCAATGCAGACAGTTAAGTGTGTTGTTGTGGGCGATGGTGCTGTTGGTAAAACAGGTCTTCTGATATCCTACACAACAAACAAACTTCCATCTGAGTATGTACCGACTGTTTTTGACAACTATGCAGTCACAGTTATGATTGGTGGAGAGCCATATACTCTTGGACTTTTTGATACCGCAGGGCAAGAGGATTATGACAGATTACGACCGCGGAGTTATCCCCAAACAGCTGTATTTCTAGTCTGTTTTTCAGTGGTCTCTCCATCCTCATTTGAAAATGTGAAGGAAAAGTGGGTGCCTGAAATAACTCACCATTGTCCAAAGACTCCTTTCTTGCTTGTTGGGACCCAAATTGATCTCCGAGATGACCCCTCTACGATTGAGAAACTTGCCAAGAACAAACAGAAGCCTATCACTCCAGAGACTGCTGAAAAGCTGACCCATGACCTGAAGGCTGTCAAGTATGTGGAGTGTTCTGCACTCACACAGAAAGGCCTGAAGAATGTATTTGACGAAGCAATACTGGCTGCCCTGGAGCCTCCCGAACCGAAGAAGAGCTGCCGGTGTGTCCTGCTATGAACATCTCTCCAGAGCCCTTTCCGCACAGCTGGTGTCAGCATCGTACTAAAAGCAAGGTTAAATCAAACTAAAGATTAAAGATTAAAATTCGTTTTTGCAATAATGACAAATGCCCTGCACCTACCCACATGCACTCGTGTGAGACAAGGCCCGTAGGTATGGTCCCCCTCCCCCTCTCATTACTAGTTAATTTGAGTAATTGTGTATTGTCAGAAAAGGGATTAGTACTAGTTTTTGTTTCGTTGTTTCAATTTTTTGTTTGTTTTTTTTTTTTGTTTAAAAGCAAGGCCTGCTTGTGATGACTCTGTAACAGACTAATTTGGGTTGTTGAAGCTGCTCCTGGGCTCCATCCACTCTGGAGAATGATCTGGGACATTTAGGTTTTGTTTTTCTTTTTTCTTTTTTCTTTTTTTTTTTTTTGCGGGGGAGGGAGGTGGGGTGCGGGGAGTGTGTGTGGGGTTTGTTTTTATTTAGTCACGTTTTTTAAATTCATTAACCATTGGACAGCCCTTAAGGGGAGGAGGACGGATTGATTCCACATTCCACTTCCTAGATCTAGTTTAGAAAACTTGTTCCCCACCTGGTGCTCTTAGGAAGGAGTATAGTAAATACCTCATTTAATAACATACTCCTTTTTGAAAGTTGCCTTTTCTCTCCACCCTTGAGTAGGCCCAGTATTTGATGAAACTCATGAAAGTGGGTGGAACCTGTCTTGCCCCTCCTCTTTTCTAGGATGCACTATATATGTGACTGTGACTTTCAAGGAAATTTGTTTGCCATTTGATTTTTTTTTTTTTGAAGTTAATTTCTAACTTCTTTCACTGATAAAAGGATTGCACCTTTTGAAATACACCAAATGGATTGAGTACGTAATTAAAAAACATTTTTTTTCCCTGTCAGTCATTGTCTTATATGCTTAGCATAGATGTCCAGCTTAACAGTGTATGATACGGTGTTCCTAGAACACAGCTAAAGACCTGGTAAATCGAGGAAATGTGAGGGGTGGCGCTAGGAGACAGAGGTCTATGGAATGATGCACATCCTCTTTCAAGTTGGGAGGATGGAGACCAGCTTCATGAAGAAGCTGGGGGTGGGGAGAACATTTAACAACATGGGGACCAGTCAGGGGAATCCCCTTATTTCTGTTTTACATATAAGGAACCCTAGAGTAGCTAGTTAAGGCTCTCTAGTTTAATAAAAAAAATCATGAAGTCTTATGAAGACTCTTCATAAGTGTTAATAGGGATTTTATCCACTTATTTTGGTTGCAGTTTCCAATTTTTAAAAATGTTTAGGTAATCTCCACCTTCCCCAAATCCTAATTCTTGTAGATTCATTAGTGTTGAACCAATGCTTTCTCATGTCTCAATTCTTTGTATATGCATTCTTTTCAGATGTATTAAACAAAAAACCCTTCACAAGCCAAAAAATACAGTGAAAAGTTCTTCATAAAAACGGCAGCTACCATTTACCACGTACCAGGCACTTTAAAAACATTATGCATTTAATCTTAACACAACCCTAGGATATATAGGAAGTCATCATGCCCATTTTACAGATGAATAAGAATCATGGAGATTAAGTAACTTGCATAAATTTTTCATGTTATAACATATGCAACGTAAGAGGAGCTCAGATCCTGATCTACACGGTCCCTCCTAAAGCCCTAAAATGTAGAACCTCTAGAGAAAAACTGAGCTCCCAAGGACTTCTGAATAAAGACATGTATTAATAGTATCTGACTTTATTAAAGGGGACTTTGTTATCTGCCAGGTAAGATCCTGGACCATACCCAGACCTTTCCTTTCACACTGGTAGTGCCCTGGACAAGAACACAAATCAAAGTCCATATGCCTTATGTGTAAATATTAAAAGGATTAAGTCAATCTAATAAGCTATTAAATATGCTCTACACTTCTGCCTTGATAAACATACTTTAGAAGGCCTGGAAGGCCAGGTTCAAATTTGAAGACCTCAGCTCATAACGTGGCACCCTATCTCTCCTCTCACCTCCCCCTCCACATACTCTTTCAAGTCCTGGCTCTACCCCACACTGCAAGGCGCCCGACATTCACATATGTGGCCACCTACCTGACATGTTCAAACACTATTCACAACGACCCTCCCCAACCCCCCCAATAGCTGTCCCTTGGCTACTTAGTGGTGTGGTCTGCCTCCAGAGTCTAGATTTAGGAAAAAGTTCTACACAGATCCTGAAGCAAGCTCAGGTCCCTTTGGGAAGAGGATTCTGGGGACCCATGCATGGTGTAGAACATACTATTTAAAGTCCAGTCTTTGAAACCCTGCTGGTCCTTGAACTATTACAGTCTGCACCAAGTCACTATACTGAAAGCAAGCATTTAGAGCCTTTCACAACAACTGGCACTGCTATAACATCCAAGTATAGGATTTTGTGTTTTACAGAAATATTGGTCATTCATCAATAGGAAATTTCTTAAAAAGGCAGGGGTGGTAGTTCTTACACATAGGTGGATAGAAAAGCTTTGTCTTTCTGTCTAGGAGAAGAGGGGCCCAGTGTACACATCCCTTTGGCCTATAGCCTCACCTCCTATAGGGAGGGGCACAGCCTGGGGAAGGCTCCAGCAAAGACCTTCTAAAAGCATAGGCTTCTTAAAAAAAAAAAGGGGGGGGGTGGATTTCTCTTACCCAAGTCTAAGGCAGCTCCTCTGGCAACAGCACCTCTTCTGTTTTTTTCAATCTTATTTTAACAATCTACATATCTTTAGGGCCTGGTGCTCTGAAGCTGCTAGAACCGTGAAAGCAAGCTCTGTTGTGAAGTGTGTGGGCTTTGGGGATCCCAGATGACAATAAGCAGATGCATAGCTAATAAGTGGCTAAGAGAAACTAAGCCTCCAGAACTCCTGCTACCAGCCTTCTACTGATTAGCTCCAGCAGGAAAAAAAATCAGGTCAAAGCCAATAAAATTCAGCTATTAATTCAGGACTACTTTGACAGTTCAATGGAAAATTTTTAGATCTCTTGTATTTTTTCTTCTTGCCCAAACCTCAATTCCTGCTGAAAACACATTCCCTAGCCTGTTTTTCTCTGCCTGTTGATAAAGGGATTTTTAAAGTCAAAAGGAATTTGAGGTCTGTTTCAAAGAAAATGAATTTTTCGGAGTAAAATAGATCTCAAAATACTATTTGCAATCATCTTGATATTATTGCCTGAAGGTTCTGGCCAGGAAGAAATTGTTTTTAAAATGACTTGGGATAAGGAATAAGATTTGCCACTCTTTTTTTCACTCCATAATTCTATTTGTTTAAACTTTAATATGTATTTCTTTCCCTCTGCCCACCCCTTTGCATTCCCCTCACTATAGAACACACCCACACCAATAAACCAACAGCTGATGAGAGGTGGAAGAGCTCCGTTTTTAAACATGATGAAGTATTAACTTAGCAAATTCTTATTTCTGATACAGACCATAGAATAAAAGATTATACTTTTAAAATTAATAAATGCCTCCCTACAATTGACTTGTCTTTATGAAAATGCCCAACTCTAGTACTGCTCCTGGACATTTTCTATTCAAACACAAAATTTGATGGTTGGATTTTATGTAGGCAAGGAGTAAAGAAGAAATCTAGTATCTTAAGAATTCCGCTCACTCCGTCCCACAGCACATACACATCTTGTGACAAATCGACCCTCTTTCCTTTGAGGCTGGGGTTTTGTTCCATAGCAAAGATCACTATCAACTTTACATGAAGGTTAAATTAAAGATTGTAAACCAACAAGAGCTTTCAATAGCACACTTAAGATTACGTAAATAGCGTTCAGTAACACCAATACTTTAGTGAGATGCTAGGTCCCTTAAGTACATACACGATTTTAACCCTGGAATAGTCTGTCAACAATAACCCTTTTTGCTCAAACAGTGACTTGATCTCTGGAGGCATAAAATGATTTAGGTCTATTTTCTCGAGCCTTTCTTGGTATTAACTTATTTTAAGGCAGGCCCCTTTTCCTTCTGCTGGACCAGTGATTATAACCTTTAGTGGGCATAAGAATCACTTAATTTTTAAAATGCATATTCCCAGGCCATGCCCCCTAGAGATGGATTCAGTAGGCCTGAGATCTAGCCAGGTGTTTTGTTTTTTGTTTTTTGGGTTTTTTTTTATAACAAGTATCCTGGGTCATTCCAACATAGTTGTTTCATGGAACAGCCTTTGAGAAACTGTACTAGAATCTTGAATGTTTTAAGTACTGAATGGGTCAAAGAGTGCTTCCTGGCAATTTGAGCCCACTTTATTTTGATGACCAAGGTATCCGTGAGGGGGGTGGTGAGGGGCGGGAGTGCACCTTCACAAATTCACAAACAAGTACTGAATAATATAACCAAGTTGCCAAAGTAAATTCAAATCCATGGTCAAAGAATTTTGAAGTTGCCAAATTTTAGGAGATGGTCATTTCAACCCTATTAACAGGTACACCTAAAGAATAATTATATAAGGGAAAGCATCTGCTATTCAATAATTAGCATCTAGACATTGTGAAGTTCCCCTTAAACTTCTAAGTTCCTATCCATAGGAAAGAGAACCCCAAATGTTAGAGTCCTATCGCCCTATAAGGTATTAACCACGTTTGCATCTATGAGCAAATTTATTCCAATACTCGTATCTGACCAATTACATATAAATCTCCACTTCTCGAATTCTCTCTTGAGCCCACCTCACCAGCTGACTAGTTCCTTCATTAAGCAATGGGCTGAATCAAAATACTGATGTGTATTCATTTGTAGGCAAGTCAGGTTTTTATTTCGAGTTGTGCTTCCACAGCTTTAGAGGTTCTACTTAGATGCACCAATGCACTTACCTGCCAAAGCCCATTAAACCCTGTTGGTCAAGAAATACAATTTCTCGTGCTGCTTCAACCCAGGCACATCTTTTCTTGGTGCCCAAGGTGAATTTCAAGCAGCAGGAGACTCTTACTGTTTCTCTTTTTAGTCTCCTGCCTGTGTTTTGTTTTGTTTCTGGTTCTTGGCTACATTTGGTTCTGACTAGTCTGTGCACAGCCAATATACTATTTCCCATTGGTAACAGCAGTAGGGATATGGTTTTATGGTTTGACAGTGTGGTTATCTCTATCAAGATGATAGACATCTGCTCTGTCGGGAGAGAGCTTTGTCCCTTGATGTTCTCTTGTCAATTAAGAAAATATTTTGCACACATTAAATAGGAAAACAGCTTAGAAGAACGGGTGACTGTTTACCTTGATCTGTGG